ACACAGGCAGACCTGGCTGCCCAGAGAGGACAGGCTCAGTGACCACAGCCTGGCCATAGAAACTGGACACAGGCAGACCTGGCTGCCCAGAGAGGACAGGCTCAGTGACCACAGCCTGGACACTGGACACAGGCAGACCTGGCTGCCCAGAGAGGACAGGCTCAGTGACCACAGCCTGGCCATAGAAACTGGACACAAGCAGACCCGTCTACCCAGAGAGGACTGGCTGTGGTCCCATTGCCAGCCAGGAGAAGCAGAGACAGTTACTGAGATACACTTTCTGCTACACTGCAGACAACTCTCCAGCATGAGACAAACACTCCCCTCTAAACTAACTAATCTAATCCCAGATTTCCCAGGCTTCCCATTCCTGCTAGAACCAGAACAGTTTCCAATCCTGCTGGGGGAGGAAACTCAATAGAGCTGCAGTCCAGTACTTGTCCTAGCCTGAGGAACAGACAGTGAGCCTCTCAAATAATAACATTTTATTGTTGCAAATGTCTAGCTAAATGTTATTGCTTCAGCAATACTGTAATCCGTCAGTCCAGTCAATAAAGCAGATGAAACTGAAAGGATGAGAAAAGAGTCAACAGCAGAAGAGGGGGGTGGCACAGGACAAAGAGGAGGGGCCAAGGAATTTAGGGGCGGGGGGGTGAAGGAATTTCAGATGGATACAAAACTTTCAGTTTATAAAACAACCAGAAATGTTTTGTGCGCGATAAGCGTACAGATTTTAATCATCACAAACACCACTCACCGCTTGTACGCCACTGACTCACTGCACACCCCCACAAGAACATGCAGGTGCAAAACCGTTTCCGAAACCAATCAAAGAGAAAACGAAAGGAGAGAGAGAGAGAGGGAGGGAGAGACGTAGCCTTGTCCCCGAGAGGGTGAGAGTTCTCTGACTCAGTGGAGAGAGAGAGGTCCCTACCCCCACCCCCCCAGCGACCCAGAGCACACCCTGTCCTCAGGGTTAACCCTTAAGGCTCCCTGATAGTCTAGTGGCTAGGATTCACACTGTCACGGCTGCAGCCCGGGTTCGATTCCTACTCGGGGACAGGGCTGAGCACTTAAAAACCTCTTTACCCAAAGGGTGGTGGGAGTATGGAACAGGCCACCCAGCCACGTTGCTGAAGCCTGTCGAGCTCCCTGGTGTCCTCCAGGGAACGACAGGGCGAGCTCCGGTGACCGGCTATCTGCTGGGTGGGGCTGAACGGCCTCCTCTCGTTTGAGCCCTGCGCTTTACTGTCGCTCATCCAGTGAGGTAGGGCTGTGCGACAGCCACCATGCTCCTCGCCCTGCACGGGCGCGAGCGAGACACTAGAAACGCACGACTCTTCGGCCGGTGGCATCGGAGGAAGGGCCGCGACGCAGTCCGCACGGTTTTCGACGCAGAGCGCCTGTCGTGTCGTGTCACGCGACGTGCTCAGCTTCCTGCTGCTCCCACTGTGCTGTTTGCCACGTGGCCGAGACCGTGCAGTGTGAAAGAATGAGCTCGTAAGGTCCACCAGCAGATTCCTGGACAGGGTGTGGCCCCCCAGGCAGGCTGGGTGTGGCCCTCCTCCACCCTAGCCTCACACACGGCTCTCATTAGCGCGCCCCCACACTGTTCTGACACACCCTGCCTCTGACACGCACACACTGCCCCCGACAGCACAGCCCAGCACAGAGGAGACACAGCTGCCCTCCAGTGCTGCTCCGGTCCCAGACAGCTGCCCAGACAGCGGGCCATTCACTGTCTCCTGGAATGTCCTGAGGGGCACCCAGATCAGCACAACTTCAGACAGCCCCACAATACCTAGCTGTCCCCCTGGGGGAGGAATCATACAGCTCCACTCACTATAGGACCCACAGCAAGGGCTCTGCACAGAGGTACCCCTGGGGTTCACCCTGTCACAGCCTGGGGG